TATATATATACAGTAGTTAGAATACCTTTTCGTCCATGTATTCATTCTTCTTTCTTCCACCAATGGAATATTCTCGGGTGCACCATAGTCAAAAGTACGAAACCCATCACTTCCGATTTGTGATTCTGGTCGCCGATTCACACAATTTGAAGCCATATTTGAAGCCATATTGGAAAATGCGGCTATTAATGGTAATGGTAGAGCAGACTTAATGGAAATTTTTCGTGAATACAATACATAAGAAATTCTTACTTTAAAAAAGCATATAATTTCTGTCTATGATGACCTGGCATGTGCCTGTTATAAGTGTTAATTTCATTATCATCGTCATTGCTGTTATCATAACTGACGCAAACTTTTATTTGAAGGCAAACCTAGAATGGTGACTACCGCTTGATAATGCCTGCACTCCGTATCCAGAAAGATGGGGGAGGGCGAAGGGGGTTGCGACTATGCCATTTTTTTTCTTTTCCTTGTCACGCTGCCAGACTCTAGAATAATCTCACAAATGAACTTGATCCCATTATTTTCAAACGGGCACTCAAAACTCACTTGTTTGCCTAACGTACTTCCACTTATTCTGACTGTTGTGTCTCTTTTACTGTACGTGTTATGTTTTGCTTGTGTTAATTGTTTTGACACTAGTTGTGACCCTTGTGATTTCTGTTTAATGTTGCATACTTTCTGCCTTGAGTTTTTCCCTGAACTAGGAGATTTGGCGTGCGCTTTATAACCGCAAGGAGAAGGCGCAATATAAATGCCCATACTAGGTAGTACAAACCTAGTACATGCTTGGGTGAATAATGTCATGTATTATGTGGGAAGAGGAAGTAATTTTTTTTTTTTTTTTAACATTGAACACAAAACTAAGTGTTATGTATTAAACTTGTACAATCTGTAATGTACAAAAAGCTAATTTTTAATGTATTTTATTGTATTGGACGAATATATGCTGTGGATTGCAGCACAATCATTTTATGTATATTATTTCCACAGTAATGATTTAGAATGTATGATTTATTAGTTTCCAAGTGAGAATCAGTACAGTACAATAGAACCCACTGCTTTGGCACACCCCTATTTAGGGTACACTTTTTCGGCTATGAAAGGAAGTATATCTTTCAACACTATGATCATCCCTGAATCAGGAACACTCGTATTAAAGGGACACACTGTTTTTTTTGGTCAAGACATTTACGTACATGCTCATAACAAATACAAAAAGAGCACTAGCAAAAACATCAACAGCAGCACCAACAACAACAGCAATAGCAGCAGACGGAGGGGCTAAAGGCCCCGACGAGGGGGGAGGGGCTAGTGGAGTGAATCGAGTCTCACTTGGGTGGGGGACAGGAGGCCGCCTAGGAAGCCACGGATATTTGATGAATTATGGCGAATTTTTATTACTTATTTGATAGGCATCGAGTTACTATAATATGACATCATGTAGGCTATGCTTTCTAATGTTGACATCAGCTTCAAAAACCAAAACGTTTTGATTGAAACAAGGAACAAAGAGTATGCAATGTAACCATCTAATTAAGTGAAATTCTATATTTTGGAAATTTAGCATGAAATCTGTCAACCACGCTTTCATAGTCGAGGTTGCTTCACCTATCACGATGTAATCCAACCATAATGAGGCTATCTAAATGAGCATTTGTCATAACAGAACGCAAATTATTTTTAATTAGTCTCATTGAATTATTATTATTAATATTATTATTGTTATTGTTGTTTTTGTGATGAAAAGTTAACACAAATATGGTGGCTAAACGAATATTACATGTAAATATTTTTTTTTATTTGTTTGTTCCCCGACAAAACTTATCGTCTTCCCCGACCGGGGGGGGGGCGCTCTAGGCCCCAGCCCCTCTGGCGCCACCACTGAATAGCAGCAGCAACAACAGCAGCAGAAGCAACAACAACAACAACAACAGGAGCAGCAGCAGCAGCAACAATAACACCAGCTACAAAAACTATGACAACAATGATGACGGCAACAACGAAAATTCGACAACAATAATAATGATAATAGATTTTGGTTTAGTACGTTACTTTCACATAATATAACCATATCTTTTTCATTTCATTTTATTCGAAATTCATAAAAATTCCAAGGATAAAAAACCAAACAAAGTAACGCAAAGATCAACTTACTTCCATTGTGGTCTTTAAAAAAATTACGTCAAAATATGATTTCATAACTACCATAGGGCCCACCCCGTAATACAAAAAGCAACACAAAATACAAAACCATTACCACTATTACTACGATCATTACCATTACTATTTCCTCTGATTAACCACTTCTGTTAGATGTTCTTTTAACCGAAAGGTCCACTGATTAATCTCAGATAAGAAAGTATAATACATACTCCAAGTATTGAAATACACGCCATCGTGTTGGGATTCAATATTTCGACATTAATTATGTCATCATCAGGAATGAAAAAATTATCCATATTAGCAAGCTTATATGCACTAGTACCAAAAGTGTTTAACCAATCAAAACATTACCTCTAGTAGGTGACATAGCAGTGATGATGACATAATTAATGTCGAAATATTGAATCCCAACACAATGGCGTGTATTTCAATTTACTTGGAGTATGTATTTACTTGGAGTATGTATTATACTTTCTTATGTTCTTTTACTTTTCGTAGATTGTTGATGACTGTTGTATTATTGTAGAATCTGAAGACTTAAACTAAAAATTCATACAAATAAAATGGGAAAATGAAACTTCAGTTTGCTTTACGTAGTTTCATTTACTTCTGTCGTGTGTCAAAAAGAGAAATAAATATGAAAAACAATAACAAAAAATTAGAGTATAATATAAACTTAAAAAGAATTATAGTATGAAGTATTCTCGATCTTCCACCAAGTTTATACATATTTATTTGTGGAATTATGTTATAAATACGTTTTGTACACCGAACTCTAAAAGCATTTTTTTCCTCGCGAATATGCCTGCATTATGGTACATATACAAGGCAGAAGTCAGGCGTTAAAAAGAAGAAATCGAGGAAAATCTGAATTATGAGGACAGAATTTGTTAGTTACTAAAATGCTACTAAAAGAAGCCTATTACATCGTAGCTCTAAGTAATTACAAACAATCAAAAGCTGCCATCAATGTACGCGTCTTCAAGTTTAATTTTTCTAACTCAACAAGCTCGTTTATCAGACTTTTCTTATAAAGCACAACTTTTTGTTTTTGTGTCTAATGTACAGAAATACATTTGGTACATACTATGGAAATAACCTTAGTTTAAATTAATGATTGGAAAAAGTATCAAGCCTAAAGTCTACTTTTTACTGTTTTTAAAAAAAATATTATTAATAATGCTTTAGAACGATGTCATACAATTTACTTAAAAAATAAGTAACGCAAGACTTGTACTTACTGTACGATAGCAGTCCTCAAATCTAGCATGGAAATGTACGGGGCGCCTAACGCTATCTCTATTTAAAACGCCCTATTACAACAACAGGAACCGAAAGTCGTTTTGAACAGAGAATTGTTTACACAAATTCAGAGGATTATATTATTATTTAAATTATATATATAAACAAGT